ACCCGTGGCCTTGGTGTTATGAGCACCGCACTCTACCGAGTGAGCCACGGGCCGGCCTTGTCTTATTTCACTTAGCATAATGTTTTCCCATTTCATCCATGTTGTCACAAATGATAGAATTTTTTCCTTTTTGAAAGGCTGAATAGTATTCCATTATGTATATACAAGGATACCTCAAAAAGTTTATGGACAAATAGAATTAAAAGATAATACAGTTCTTTACATGAAGTTTTTGAAGTACCCTTGTATGCCACATATTCTTTGCCCATTCATCCATTGATGGACACTTAGGTTGATTTTTTTTTTTTTTTTAAGATGACCAGTAAGGGGATCTTAACCCTTGACCTGGTGTTGTCAGCACCACACTATCCCAAGTGAGCTAACTGGCCATCCCTATCTAGGGATCTGAACCCATGGCCCTGGTGTTATCAGCACCACAATCTCCCAAGTGAGCCACAGGCTGGCCACTCACTTAGGTTGATTTTATAACGTGGTTATTGTGAATAGTGCTACTATGGACATGGGAGTGCAAACATCCCTTCAACATACTGATTTTAAATCTTTTGGGTAAATACTCAGAAGTGTGATTGCTGGACCTAATATCTTGATATCAAAAATAGACAAGGTCAACATAAGTAAGGAAAATCATAGGTCCATCTAACTTACAAACACAAATGTAAAAATCCTAATCACAGTGTTATCAAATAAAGCCCAGAAATGTGTAAAAAAATATTTACTAGATCGTGAGTAAGTAGGATTTTTCCCTAGGAATGCAAGTATGGTTTAACATTTTAAAAAGTCTTAATTTGGGCCAACCCCGTGGCGCACTCGGGAGAGTGCAGCGCTGGGAGCGCAGCGACGCTCCCGCCACAGGTTCAGATCCTATATAGGAATGGCCGGTGCGCTCACTGGCTGAGCGCAGTGCGGGCGACACCACACCAAGGGTTGTGATCCCCTTACCGGTCACAAAAAAGACAAAAATAAATAAATAAATAAATAATAAAAAATAAAAAAGTGTTAATTTACTATGTCCACACATTAAGAAAGAGGAAAATCACATGATATTTCAAAGGGTGTAGCAAGAAGAAAAACCATTCAATAGTTTTCTATACCTATTGTTATTTTAAAGTCCTGGCAAAATAGGGATGGAAGATAACTTCCTCAGTCTGATAAGGGTATCTGTGAGAATGTATGGCCATACATCATCCATTGCCATCAAACATTAGAAGTATTTTTTTAAAGCAGGAACAAGACAAAGATACTATTGCTGCTCTTCAGCATTGTTTAGGCAGTATTAGCCAGTGTAATAAGATAAGAAAAAAAAA